CCCGCGGCCTCGCACCCATCGCAGCTCGGGGGTGTGAACTTCTGACTGGTTTGCAAAGGCAATATTGGCCTTCCCTAGGCGGAGCTTATACCATCTCATGGCAGAGAGGGAAGCGTTGGCTGGTTTAGTTTGGTTTTGAGGGAAGTTGGTGTATACTTTGGCTTTTCAAAACTTTCAGGTTCAGCTTGGTTATCGTTTTTTTGCTGCTGAAACAAATGCAGCACTCAGGAAAAATACACTTGCTCACAGTCCTGATGGAGCTGTGGGTTGCATCCTCTTCTACAACTAACACGGTGCAAATTTATGTGTCTGTATGGGAAGTTGTCTGAAAAATAGAACATGGGTGCTCACTGTATGGTCTGTGTTGGAAATAATGTAACTTCCCCGTTCATTTGAAGAGCAATTATTAAACTGGAGGAAAAAAATAATGTTTGAATAACTCACTGATAATACTATTATGGAAACATGTCAAACAAGGCTAATCTGAGAGCTTTCTGGTTAATATAGATGTCCACACTCTTTAAGCTGACTACCAATTTCATAACAGTGATTTGGTGTCAGTTATTTTAAGCCAATCCAAAGAAGTATTGAGTATTGGAAAGCTCACTTGACCTTAAGAGTGGAACAGGTAAATTCTATCTAAAGTAATAAATGGGTTTTCAGTAACTCTAGATCTTACTGCAGCTGCATTTGCCATGATTTTCTATACTATTGATGTCTGTGCATCTTTAAGGTGCAGTTCTACAGATCACTTTCTGCTGTTTTCACTACAGCTGTTACACTCTTGTTCCATTTACTAATGTTTGTATCATTTTTGTTTAAATCCTAACAGTAAAAAAACCAGGTTATAAATGCAACTGGCTTTTAATAAAGTTAGGTGTCTTTAAATGTAAGTGCCATGATAAATAAGGATGTTCAAACTAATGCTTTTAAAACACTTATTTCATCAGAAGCTTATTGCTCTTTTGTGCAGTGAGTTCAATTTTGTTTCTGTCTTGTATCAGGTTTTTAGTTCATTGCTTGTCTAGTAACTATGATAGTGTTCCATGGACTTGTCTTTGCAGGTTGTTGATTATCTGTGCCTGCCTAATGAACTTTCATGACTGGCCTTAGTTTTTGCTGGGCAGTTACCTTTTAAAGCAGTATCTTGATACAGTCTAATGATACTTTTTAATACAATTTTGACACTTTTTAGCCTAGAGCAATGGTTTGAACACTTTCTTTGATTATATACATATAGCATTTCATTGGAGTTTTGGACCTCTCGGATGCATTGACTGCCTTTAAGGAGATATGTGTATAAATGTGTATATATGTTTATACATATTAAAGCATGAGGAAAATAAACTTTATTGTCAATAGATTTACCTTTCTTATACTGGCGTCTGTTCCTCCACTGGGAAATATTTGGGGAGAGTGGGGGAAGGATTCACTGTTGGTTTTGGCTTTGAGAGCAACCACTAGCAGGATTCCTGGAATGCATTTTCTGCATTAATGTAGTTAAAGAAGCTGAAAACTTGGAAGCTAGTTGTACTCTAAAAATGGATGTAGGTGTTTCCTTTGGCAATGGAGACCATTTGAAGACCATTTGAGCAGTTCCTGCACGCCTCCTGTAATCAAATCCATTCCCCCTTACAGCAACTTTGATTGCTCAGGCCACAGATTTTTTGACCTCTTGGTCATGCCAGTAAAACTATTAGTGGGCCAGGTTATTTTTAACCTGCACTGGTTCACATCATAGTCCTGTGAAAAGTTGTGCTAGCACAATGGAAGGAGCAGGGTGGGAACTCATTAGGCTGGCTTTGTTGCCAGGAAGAAAAATCAGAGAAAGCTTGGCTTCAAATCATAGCTTTAAAATAATAAAAAAAAAAATTAAAAGACCTGAAATAATCTTGATACTTGCCTTTTAAAAGCTGTCATACGTTTTGAGTCACCTTTTGAGAATACCTTAGTATTTATATCCTGATTCATAAAATGAAATGTCCATAACAGGTGCCACCAGTTGATGTAACTGTCTAAAAGTCTATGCCTATGTTATCAAATTACTTTTAACTGTATTTAAAAAAAAAAAAATCAGCTGTGTTATAGTGTAGCTGAGGTTATCACATGTATCTTGTTAGAATTCTGCTAACATATACATTGCTTGTGTCTATTTTGTCATTTCAATATAAATTACATGTGCTTTCATTTGCATTCTCTGAGCACACTTTATAATTGATTACTTTTTTCCCTGAGGTCAAATAAACCTAATCTTTTTAAATTAAAAAAACCCTCATATTTGTGTTGTCAGTTCCACGAAAAAGGTGTCTGAAAATAGTGTTTCATTTTTGCCTTTAAGTCTAATAAACTTTGCTTCTCTGTTAGTAAAGAAAAGGCATTCTAAAGAACATCCTTCTAGAGAAGAGTCAGGCTTGATTCTCTTTCCAGGACCTGGCACATGGCCCCTGTTGTCTCTGTCAAGTGGAAGTTGGCTTCATGCTCTTCTTTTCCCACAACAAGAATCTAGTTTAATGTCTTATGCTTTTCTTTCCTGGCACCATGTTTAACTTGAGCACCCTAAGCTGATGGAGGGAGGGAGGAAGGAGTATAGCTTTGCTACTTTTTATTATCCCCAAGGCCTAGCATGTAACACCAGCAGCCCCATTCTCATGCACTTTAATGAAAGTAGGGGAATGATTCTGTTTGCTCCCCTGTGATAAGCTATTACAGACTAATTATTTCTACAGTCCATCACCAAACCTAGCAGTTCATGACTCCTATCCCGAAATTGTCTTATTAGGTATTAGACAGGCTCTTGCTGTGTCTGTGCTGAAGACTTCCATTTCAAACATTGTTGATAGATAATGAAGGGTATTCTTAGTTTTGCATAATTATGCTTTCAAAAAAGAAACTTGACCCAATGTTTAATATGTATGTTCCTCTTGAGATATTTTTGGAAAGGAGAAGATCATGGGAAATTGTACAGAAAAACATGTTGAATAAACACCCTCTTCATCTTAGAAGATAAATCATTTAGTTTAAGAAATATCAATTTATGAATGTAATCTTGATTTTGTCACCTTGTGTATAAGGTTTGATAGTCTTTAATGACATAATCATATACATTAAGTGCTGGTCTGATGCCCTGACTATTAGATTTAGGGAGTCAAACTGTCAGAGAACTATCACCACATAACAGTGCAAAATCAAGCTTCCTTAACTAGTTTGCTTTGTCAGGTAAGTGTTGCATCAGCACAAGAATGAGAGAAGTATTGGTAATGTTTTTTGTTGGCAGTGGCCTGGTAATATGACTAGAAATATTCTTACATTGAGTGTGGCCTTCATGAAACAAACTGTGGCTCAGATATTCTTCAGTTCTTGTCAAAGTATTCCAATGATGAATTGGATTTCATGTGCTGAACTGCTCATTAATTTCAAGGAACTGCGGTATTGGCTGGAGTTATGGTTGGGTTCCTAATGCAAGACTGTATTGTTTCCCCTCCGATTTACCAAAAAATGGAAGCATTGAATTTTGTGAAGCACTGTGTATTAGGCAAAGCAAACACTGTTGTATTGGGATCCTGATTATTGCTGAGACAGCCGTGTGGTTTTAGGAAATTACTGGTCTTATTACAAATTAAATTATTGGTAGTGTGTGTAAAGAATTACAAAAAGTTTTTATTTCCTGCATTGTTCAGAACTACTTTCAAGATTATGTTAGAGGATGCGAAAAGACAGAGGAAAACTTCATTGGCCATTACTGTTTGTTTAAAAAAACAAATAAAACCAGTTGTGATTAGAGATGCTGATTGTAATTTGGTTAATTGAAAAAGCTACATATTTTCATTACTATTGTCATACATGACTTTTTTTTTCCTTATTGCAAGAGCAAGTCTCCAAGCACGAGGGACTCAGTCTAATGAGATCTATACAAAAATTTTATCAAGGTCTAACTGATAATGAAAACACTATGCAATGTGTTGTGGGTGTGGTTTTGGGGTTTTTTGTTGTTGTGGGGATTTTTGTTTGAGGCTTTTTTTGTGGGTGGTTTGGTTTTTGTTGTGTGGGTTTTGGGGAATTTTGTTTTGTTTTGTTTTTCTTGGGGCTTATAGATGATGTGACTATATGGGAAGCCCTGGCAAAATCTTACAAAATTTGTGGGGCTGTGGTAGGTTTTGGGTTTGTTTGGGTGGGGTTTTGGTTGGGTTGGGGTTTTTTAGATGCAAAGAGAATAAAGCTGTAACTAGTGTTTCAGTAACTCAGTTGTGCCAGGTATATTGTATGCTTTAGTAGGGTCTTCATGTTTTTTGTGAATCACTTACCTGGAATAGGAGTTTTCTGGTTGGTTTTTTTATTATTATTTTAAAACAGATACATTTCACTGTGGTGTCAGAGGCTTCCTCTGATAGTTACTGGTGGATTATACAAAAGTAGTTTAAATTATATGGAGGATATCTTTGGTCTTTTGACATCCTTAATAGCAAAGATGAGAATTCAAATAATTACCGGAATGGTGATGTGGTATCTATCTTTCAAGAACTTCTGTATCAGATCAGGTTCAGCCTGTATAGAACATGGGGTGGGGGGTGAGGGAGGAGGAGGAAGACCATTCTTTGGGAATTATCATCAAGTGCAGTAATCTTTACTGAATGGTGAAACATTTGTTTTATGAGAGTACTGAATGTTTTGGTATGTGTGTTGTGGGTTTTTTTTACTGTTTAGTCTCAAGATGGCAGAATTATTTATGGAATGTGAAGAAGAGGAGCTAGAACCATGGCAAAAGAGAGTGAAAGAAGTGGAGGAGGATGATGATGATGATGAACCAATCTTCGTTGGGGAAATCTCAAGCTCGAAGCCAGCTAGTACATGTAAGATAATATTTTTCCATAATTTAAAACAGATATTTCAAAGTGTAAAACTTTAAACTTACTTTAAAAATACAGAATTTTTAACCATAAGACTTAAATTTTACATCTTAAAATTGTTCTGTAGTTTGCTGTCAAGAAAATTGGAATTCTTAAGAAATTCTGTCCTAAAACCCAGGTTATGCACAGCTGTGTCTACCTCTAACTTTGAATCTCTGAAGTCAAAACAAGGACGTTAGAAGGTTTTAGCATTACCAATATGGTTAAAAATCCAGTATATACAATGCAGAAACCATGCATGCAACTGCTCTCAATATAGTTGATATTTAGTTAGATACTTGGAAGTGTCTCCCCACTAAAGTAATGTGCATGAATTTCAGTCTTCATGTTACAGTCCTTTCTTTTTTTTTATTCACTCCACATTTCATGTGTTGGTGGGCAGTTTGAATGGGTGGACATCATTCTGACAAAGCCAAGGTAACTGTCTTAAGTGTCTATAATAAAAGCACAATCAGGAAAAGTGATTAACGTGAAAATAGTAGAAGCCGCTCTGTTAAGTAAGAGATTTTTATTAATAAATTCATTCATCCTCTGTAAAATAAAGAGTTTTTTCATCAAGTTCTGTAGTTTTCTCCTAATGCAGGCAGTGCAGGGAGTAAGGTTAGGTGGTTGTGATGACAGCAGATGTGTCAGGATTCCATGTTTGTCCTGTGCTTGGGCTTTGGCAGGTAAGTAAAGGAGAACATTATTTTTGTTACTTAATTTTAGTAATGAAACTTTTTAATTTTGGTATGCAGCCATCTTGTAGTCAATTGTTAAGAGGTTTGACGTAAGGTTTCTCTAGCTGTCGAATACACAAGATTTTGCCTAGCAAGGTTTACTGCTTTCAGTTTCTGTCTCCTCTCTGCTATGCTTGTATCCAAGATTTCCGTAGTCATTTTCTGAAGGTGTATAGTTTGCAGTGAAGAATCTCAAGACAAAATGTTAAACTAGGCTCTCTGTCACACTCTGCTGTATGGACTTTGGAGCTATTATTAGCTGTTCAGTCATTTTAGTTCACAGTACTTTCATCTTGCATCTGAACTCTATTTTACTTTGTAACTCACTGTGATAGTAAGTGTAATGCTTCTTACACTAGCTTAAAGAAGTGGAAAATTGTTTTAAATGTTAAAGAAATACTGAAGCTGATGTTAAAGTTCTCTCACCTGAAGATAGTTCTTAAGGGTTAATCTTTTTGAATTTTTAAAAATATTCTAGAGCCTCTTGAAAATTTGAAGAATATTTTAAAATTACCCTAAGAAGTTTTCTGCAGTTAGAAACTTCTAGAAGGACTGAAAAATACCATTACTGTTTTCTGGAAGGTCTGGAGACCTCTGGATTGCTGTTGGTCATTGGCAGTAGGTCATGGCAGAGAACAACTATTAAGGCACTAGGTGTATGTTGGAACAACAAATATGGCAAGTTTCACTGCAGTTGTTGTAGTCTCAAGATTTTTTTTGTAGTCATAAAGGATAGAAATAGTTCAGGTGAAAACTATGATTTTGATATGACTCGGCAACTTCAAGAACTGTGGTAAAAGATAGAGACTTACAATGTATGCATCTTATTCTAGTGCTGTCCATACTTGGTCCTGACGCAAGTAAAATCACTTATGGTATAACTTTTTACTTTATCTCTTTTCCTTCCCTTTCCTCAACTTTTCTCTTTGTAATCTTCTACTTCACTATCCAAAACAGCTATGGAAAAATGACCTCAGTTCTTCTCTGGCTTGTAAGTAGTACTACCTGGCAGTCGTCAGGCTTCAGTTTGTTATTGGTGATAGGCAAGACACAGTGAACTCAACTTTGCTTATCACTGTTGTTTAGTCTTTATCTGAGAAAATTCCTGTCTGATTAGATGAAAAATTAGATGACACATGGAGTCTTGCATATAGTTCTTAATTTTTCCGAAAGGTGTATTTTCTGCAGTACATAGCAATTTTGTTTAACCTTTTCCTGACAATGCAATTGTCAGTTTTTATACAGACTGGTGTGGCAAACTTGAAGGAAATAGTTAAAAACCCAACTTTGACCTGCTGGCACCGTGTCATGTACAATAAAGTGCCTCTTCTGACATACTGGAGGATTAGTTTGACTGGGATGAAAAGTAATTCACACTTTGTTCCCTTTACCATTTCCTGCAACTGCTTGTTTTTTGCACAGTTAATGCTCACTTTTCCTGCTTCCTTTTTCCTAATGATGCAAACCTGTAATTTGTTGCTACTTTAAAATGTTGTTCTGCATGTTAGCTTTCTTATACTTCAATGCTGTTTTACCTAAATGGGACAAATAACACTTGGATGGGGGAGGAGAAGGGGCATGTCAAGTCTATGATGAATCGGTAGAGTCATGTAAACCTAGTTTATAATTCCAAATCACTGGCTTCCTGAAATGTTCTTTTTTAAAAACAGTAAAATCTGCCTCTGTAATTTAGGATGTGAATTGTGTGTGCCTCAGACTGTCTGAAGCTGAGTATGCTTTGTGAAACATAACCTTCATAACCTTTAGGATAGCTTTTTTTTTTGTAGGTAGATGAAGGCTTTAGTTTCATTTCACTCTGGAATTCAAATGTGAGGTATAGATTTATTAACAAATACAAAAGTATGTGTTCAGCTCAATCCTAAACTAAGTTAATCCTTGCTCGTAGTTAGTGTTGTGTTGAGGTAAAAGTAGTATTAATATTACAGGATGAAATTTCATCATGTCTTAAAAAATGCAAACCTGTTTGGATCTGTTGGTTGCAGCTGCTTTTTTATTAGTATAATCTAAATGCAGGTGACAGGTTGAAAGGTGTGATCTTCTGAGCTCTACTGCTGTTAGATTTATTTATCAGCCTGAGTAGTGTAAAGTAATGATCCATTGCTGGTGGAAACAGCCTTAAGGTTGTTAAACACAATATACAGGTACTCTAAGATCTATTGTTTGAGATCCTGATGTAATTTGACCCTGGTTTGAGAAGGTACTTTAGATCTTGTTGGTTAGATATTGGAGGATCAGTCTAATTTCCTATGCATATTTTCACATGTCAGAGCAAGAAATTTGACAGCAACACTAACAGAATTGAGAATCAGGTGGTAGAAAAATATTTTGATTTGATGAACATTTTTGTAACATTCTGGAATGATCAGAAACCCCAGACTAAGACATAAAAGTCAGGGAATATTGGTGGCATTAGTTAGGGAGTAAACATCAAACCTAAGAAATTCAATGTGTTTCTGATGATCTAGAACTCTGGTCGTAGACTACCATGTAGGATATTTAAGAAAATCAGTCCTCCTGTAATGCAATTCCAACACAACTCCTTTGATTGCTGGTCTGTTGATTTTTTTTTCACGTTGGAAAATGGAGATCATGAAGTCTAAAAACAGGTTTGTAAGTGCTGTATTTTCCTGTAACACAGAAGCGAATTGTGTGGTTACTGGTTTAGATAGAGAAAATGTTTCGTTTAGTGTAGAGCTGTTCTAGTATTTGGGGAACTTATTATGTATATGAGAAACAGAAATGAATAAATGTGTTATAACCAGGAAAGCTAAATATTTATGAAATGTTCTTTTTTTGTTTGCACTTTTATTTGTGTGTTAATCTATCTCCAAGAAAATAAAAACTGAGATTCTTAGGTGAACTAGCTTAACCTAAGAGGAGTAGAAGAACATATCTGAATTTGTACAAATGACGCTTTGTTTTGCCACGTATTTATTTTAGAAATAATATTCTAATTTATAAGTCAAATCCTAATTGGCTTAATTAGTGGATGTGAATGCTACTTTTTATTTGAAAAGCAATTAAGCTATTAATTTAACTGCAATTAAGATAAATGTAACTTTTGACAGATATATTGAACAGAGTCAACCTCAGCTCATCACGAAGGGGGATACAGAATGGTGCACCCAGTAGAGGTACTTTATTGTCCTAATATGGTAATTAAAAACAAAAAATCCACAACACTTATGAAATATCTGACTGCAAAATAATATAAAGATAACTTTGGAATCCTTTGCAACAGGTACAGTTACTACATTCAAGCCTGACAGTCACCATTATGCGACACCTGCCTCCAGCTCCAGTGCCATGCCTGTTTCATCAGTCTTTCAGTCTGTATCCAGACCTACAACTAGCTCTGTAGCAGTTCAGCCATTGTCTATACCAGTGAATGTTTCAGGAACTTCACAAACACTGCAGAGACCAGTTGCTGGATGTTTATCAACACAGCAGATGCCTGGGTCAAGTTCTGGAATATCACAGCCTGTTAGCAGACCTGTAACCATTCCAGTGACAACACAGCCAGTATCAAGAAATACAACGGTTCCTGTAGTGGCTCAACCTGTATCCAGGCCAGTGACTACTGTAACAGCACAGCCTGTAATACTCAATCAGGTAAATTTTTATTCCCTTAATCTGTAAAATACTCAAGTGCAATTACTTTTGAGTAAATTAGAGGAACGTACTGACTCAGTCTAGTAATTTGAAGTCCTGGACTAGATTATAGACTAGCATTATATAAACTCTAGGACCATAACCTTGCACTGGTGAATTAAAATATATATTAGAAAATGCCGATTTGCAAGACTGAAAGATGATAGCTTCAGTAACAGTGGAATTACATTAAACGAAAATCTTAGGCAAAAGAGAAATCGGTACTGGTTAGGTTGTGTGGAGAAATGGTGCAAACTCTCGTTCTCTAAATCTTGCAGATTTCTCTACTCAGAGACAGATCCTCTGTATTGATAATTTAATGTAATTTTTAAATAGCTTGCATTTGGTGTTTAAAGTAACTCTGTGGTTTTCCCACCTAATTTTTACAGTGCCTCTCTTGGGATTTTCTCTTAACGCTGTAGTGGTAGCTACTTAGGTGTGTTTGCTTTTTGGTTCACGTGTCAGTTGTAGTGAAACGGTAGTATGGTAAGGAGGACTTAAGCAACCAAAAGTTGCAGGGTCAGTAGATGAAACAATTCGGCAACGTGCTTGTTTTGTTTGAAAAGCCCACGGGAATTATGCACATGTATCATGGATCTTCCTGGATTGCCACTGGACCTCAGAATGATAACTTTAGGGAGTCAAGTTAGATGCTGTTTGTATTGCCTTAGCTGTTGGACATTTGTGAGAGAAAGAATGAAGATTAAAATTTCATATTTGTATGAGGTAAACTATGATGTGATACCTTTATTGAAAATAATTTAAGCTGGAACTGTTTAGACAATGTGCCTATAATACTACCTACTACTGTCAGGTCAAAATGAAGCCTGACTGTAGGCACTGTCTCCACCATCCATGCAAATATACACACCTGCAGTTGTCCCAGCTGTCAGTCTTTCAGTACAAATAAAAATCATGCAGCCTAATGTATTCTGCATTTGCTGAACAGGGGTATCAGTCTGAATGAACATAGTTAATAAGGCCATTAAAACATGAGAACTAGGTGTTCTTCAGACCTGTGGCTAAATCATTGCTGATGGGGGGGGTTGTATTTTAAGAAAAATAATGCAATGGAACACCTGCCCATCAACTGGGTAGCTGAATCTCTGACAGATTCATTAGGAAAGAACTCATACTTTGCAGTTCTGAGTCTTCAGCCATTGATTGATAGCAGAGAGAAACTGTGGGCTTGTCCAGTGAAGCAGGTTAGCTAAATCAGTCTGTCACTGTATCTAAGAAGATATATGGTCAGAAGTCCAGATAACAGTAGGATATGTGGATTGCCTATGGAGTTCTCTTGAATTTGCCATTATAAAGCAGGACAGTTTAATACAGAAATGTCTGCTGCTTCATATAATGTATATACGTATTTCAAGTCTGTGAATTTTATTTTTACAGAATTTTGTTTTTACAAATGTTTACTTATGACATAGTATGCTTTATTAAATCCTTCAAAGGAGCACTAGGATGTCTTGCAGTATCTTTACTGCAAAAGAATGCCACCTTCTTTACTTTCCTTGCCCATACACGCTCATGTTTTTGTTCTAATAGATAAAGCTGCTAGTGGCCTCTGCATTGTTTTTATTAGAAAACCTTACAGTAAACAGACCTAGGAAAGTGTAACTTCTCCAAAAGGCACATGTAAGCTGGACATAACTCATCAGGACAGTGATTTCCTTTAAAGACTATTCACACAGCACTTCTTTTTGTGAGAGTTCTTTCTCATGCATCAAATTTACTTTCAACAGGAATGTCACAGATGAGACTTTAGTTAAGTTTTATAGTCTTACCTTGCCAAAATCTGCAGGTTGTTGCTCTTCCCTGGCAGAGCAAGGAAACACCTATTGGAAGAAGTTACAGCCTGAAATAATGACTTTCAAGGTACATGGCATGGAAAAGGAACTCTAACCATGCATTAGTGAGTTCTGTCTATTCCAAGTTACTGACATGCTTTAGAAAGTAATGCATCCTTTTCTAGGATATCCAGTGCCTAGGTATTCTACTGTTGAAATTATCATATAATATATGGCTTCTTTACAGTGTTGACAGTCATGGCTTTCATGAGCTCTTAATTTTTTTAAGTTATCCTAAAGGTAACATCCTCTTCTTTGGATGTTAAGGAATTCTTGAGTACCTTTAGGAAGATTTTTCCAGGTTTTTTTTCCTTGCTGAAGACATGCTGAAAGCGAATCTTCCATCTCTTCCACTTAACTTTTCTAGATTCAGAGTTGTATTTCCAATTTTAGCCTTATCTAGAATAATTTGTTTTCTTGGTTTTGTATTATTCCTGCCACTTGATTATGTTATATTTTTTTAATGGGGAAAGAGTCTTGTTTGGTGTGCTTTTTTAGTGATGTACCATAGTTCAGCTTCTTGGGCAAATTTCTGTGATTTTTAATATTGCTCCTGCCACATTATGTCATTTGCTGTTCTTAGTGTCATATGTATACTACCTGTATTTTGGTTCATGTCCTTGGATTGAATTGTCTTCATTCAAGAGCTCCTTAGGTTTTTTGTTTGTTTTTTCCCCACGCCTTTAATCTAGTCTTTCACTCAAGGCCACTATTTTATATTGATGATTTTCTGCCATGGGCTTTCTGTGGCATTTTCATTCACACATTTTCTGTTTCTTCCTAACTTGATTTTCCTAAGTGGCAAGGGCTTCAAATAAATTTTTCTGGGAAATGTTTGAGGTTTAGATCTTCTGCTTCCAGATGTTGAAACTTACCTTTGAAATTAAAATATTGTGATGTGAAGATGACTGTGAGGTATGACTAGACACTGTGGCAGGACCTCTCTTTAGCTGAACATGCTTCAGTGTGCCTTTGCGTTCTTAATATGGTGCAATATTTTTTAATCTCAGGATGTCAAAGGATTTTTTGCTTTTGATCACCAATTGGGTTGAAAGACACATTCCCTCAATTTCATAACATGTAGGTCTATAACTTATCATTTGTCAATGTTTGGTATTCCAGTTTTAGCATTGAAATACCCCTTTCTAATCACAGGCTTGATTCACTGAATTCCTGTAGAAGCGTAGTTTTGTGTTGTTCTTCCTGCACTATGTTAATGCAGTTCCAAAACTTCCAAGTTGAATTTGGCTTCAGTTGTACTGTTTGCAGCAATTCTAATTCAGTCAGGTTTCTGTTGTGTATGATAGCATAGGGCTATCCCCCTCTTTACAAAAAATTTGTTCTTAGGAGTGAAGATCTCTAATTGAGTGCTCAGAATGTTCTCCAATAAGCCCCAGCCAATTCTGTCCATATCTTTCCCCTACTTCATAGGCACTTCCCTCAGTCTGAGTGTGATTCAGGTTCCAGTTGTTCCTAGTTAATTTCAGGAGAGCAAAGGTCTGATACCATGCACTGCAATTCCCCTTTGTGGATTTGGTTACCAGTTATCATGTTGGTTTCCACAGTTAGGAAATCTAGGATGCATAGTATGAACCCAGTATTTTCACTAGTCTCTTGGAAAATTAAGAGTGGTGGGTGGTTTTTTTTCAGTTGAGCCCTAGGAACTTAATTTGTAAAGGTGTTGGGTTTTGCTGTTTTTGTGAGAGCACCTGTATGTGTTTGATTTTCTTTGCCCCCCCCCCCATTAATGTGGTAAAGCTGGTTTGGGTTTTTTTTTTTTCTTTAAAATGGTTTTGTTTTCTAAAGCATGGGAAGATACTGGTTTTTTTCTGTGTGTAAAATGACAGAGCCAAATTGCATGAAAGGAGTAATTGTAAACAGAAAAGGACATTTTGAAAATTATGAGACTTTGAATTTCTAGGATGTCTGTTTTTACTTTCTTACTCACCAGATGCATTTAGTATATACTAGGGAGATGTACATATGCCATCAAAATACCCAGGCTATTACTTTGAAGAAAGTAAAAATGTTAACAGCACTTAAAAGCAAACTGCAGAGTAGCGAGAGAAGCAGATTTTGTGTGCCGCTATTAGTCATATTTCAAATTTGGATGGTGTGCATAGTTCTTCACATTAAGAGCCTACCACAGGCTTACCATCTGAGCATTAGTTGTGCTTGACATGGGGTTTGCAGGCTAAGCTGCTTTGCTTGTAATTTCACTGGCTAGTCTGAAACCATTGTGGCTACAGCAACACCTGCTCTATTGTGACTGCAGCTCATGTAGATGTTACTCGTAACAAATAGAGCAGAGAAGTTTAGTAACTATTTCCACAACTACTCTTGAACATTTATGTTTAATTTGGTTAGATTGGATTAGGTCACTCGCCAGAAGAAAGAATGACTCTTATCATTAAGGTCCTACAGGGTCTTCATTTAAGAGAGGTACAACAAAACGGCAGGATGGGGAGAAGCATCTTCCTTTTTGTTCAAATCTTTTTTGATACTTAGGAGTCCTAAAATAGGTTATCATACCTGCACGTGCACTTGTGTGCTTTCTTTAGACTTCTCTCCATCAAGTTTAGTCAACACGGTGGTAGTTAATGTGGTAACTTCCACAGGGATGTTTTCAAATAAGTAGCACAATTGTGAATGGGAAGCATTTTGTGAGATTGATCTTTACAGCAAAAAGTATTTTGGCATTTGTCTCATGGGTACACTGATGACAAAGTCTGTGTATGTGTACTGGGTGATCTTTTTTTTATATTTTTTTTTAAGGAAAACAGACCTAGTTTTGTCTTTGTGTTTCACAGCACAGCTTGATGAAGTGTAACCAATTGAATCATTTCAGAGTAAAAGATGAAGTGTCGATATTTTGCTGTTCATACCTTAATGTTAAAATTAAACCTAACTATATTACAAGGTTTTTCTTAACTCCTTATTGCTATTGCTGAAAATATGTCATGTTCCAGATTATTTGTGTTAGGATGAATGGCCGATTAGGATGTGAGCGTTGTTGATGAATCTTGGAAAGTGTGTTTTTCCTACCTCATCCCTCAACCTTGAATATCTGTAAAAAGAACTAAATTTCATGTTTCTTTTCCCTCCAAATTTTACCTATTGAGTGATCAGTGAAGGTGTTTAGTTTTAACAGTTTTCAGTGTTGGAGACAAGAAATGTAGACTATTTCATTTTTTAGGTTATATGTGGTACTAAAGGGCAAACCTTTTAAACTGAAGGGTAAGAGGATACCTATACTTGGAGATGCTCAAAACTTAATGTAACAAGATGCTGAGAAACATGAACCAACTTTTAGGTTGGCTGTGCTTTGAAAAGAGCTTTTGATTATATTATTTCCAGAAGTCCTTGTGAAATTACATAAAAGAAAAACCTGTAGTGGTATCGTGAATTTGAGTGCAATTCCCAGTCAACATGCTATAGATATACTTTTACTTTCATTAAAGCTTGACCATTTAGTAGAATTTGATTATTATCACCTTGCTTTGAGAAGCTTCTGCATGCTGCAAGTTTGTCCTACTTTTGAGTTCCGTTTTCTGATCTTTTAAAATGCAGCTAGCTGTTACACAAGAGTGACAGGCAAATGCCTGAGTTTGGGTTAAAGGAAGAAAGTATATTAGAGTTTTTTGAAAAACAGTTGAAGTATAATTTGAAACATCATCAGACTTTTGAACAAAAGCAGTTATTAGCAATTCAAACAGGTTTAGTAATATTTCATAAAATGGACTTTCCCAGGTCTTATGGTTGTTTTTACTATTCTGATACACAGCTATGAATAAACTAACAACCACTGATAAGAGTTGCAAACTTATCAAAATGTCAAAAGAAACTATTTTAGGGAGATTGTGATTAACTTGATCTACAGCTGAGTACTTAGGAGTACTTTTAAGCAATTGTATGTTTTTAAAATAAACCCTTTAAAGCCTGCAACTAACAAAATGTTAAATCTCAAATTTCTTTTCCCTCTTGAAAATATCTTATTAGGATTATATTATGGATACTCCACCAGCTGCACCAGATAATACATCTGGTATACTGTTTGGTGTGAGACAGAACTCGGGAGTTCCACAGTACCAGACTGGGCCAGCAGTGAATGTAACAGGTGGGTATAACTGTAGTGGTTAAGAGAAAGAAACAGCCTAATGTCATTTAACTGTAGTGCAGATCTTTGGGTTATAACTTTAAATAGGCTTTCTAGAACATAGTATAGCTACTTTTTTCTTCCCTCTGTATATAACACTGTATAATGTTTAATGAAATAAACTTTGGAGCCCTGTGTTGTCAGGCTTTGCTTTTCAAGCACATTAGACTGACTGTAATATCAACTGATGCTGTCTTATAATGCTCATTTAGACTGAGAAAAATACTGCCAGATCCACTGTAACTTTTTTGACCCATAAAGGCTCATTTTCAGTATATCCAGCACTCTTTGACTAGCATGAACAGGCATAGCTCTTAGCAAGAGAGGGCCTGTGAACAGTACCAGAAGAACTTCCTGAGTCTGCTGAGTGGATTCCCTGTGATCTTCTTGGTTTCCTGACTACTACATATAGGAGTTGGAGTAGATAGGATCAAAAGGATCCTGTCTGAAAAGGAGGGGAAGAGAAAGAATATGTAGTTTGACAACCCAAATTTTTTTTTTCAACTAGCTAAATTGTTTTTCAGCAGAAACTATTTAACCTACTTAAAAAAAAAAACCAACCAAAAAGTGCCTTTTTTTGTGTCACAGCAGATGAAGTAGATTTGAAGCATGCAGTGTATTTAGTCTTAAACAGGCTATAACTTGGGACTTCCCTTCTCTTTCGTGAATGATTGCACTTTTGTAATAACTGACCAGAATCCTGTCATTCAGTCTGTAAGTTACAGATGACAATCGCTTCTGGCTCTTCCATGAGGTACCAGGTTATGTACAATGAATGGCCTAACCGGTCATACTAACAAGTTATGTAGAACAGAGTGATTGCTAGTTTATTGTGCTTGATGTGATAATTTTGCATCTCTAGTTTAGGCATTCACTCCAGATACTTTTCAGTGAAGGGTTGGTAGTGTATTTCCTTGCATGTGTCCAACTATTCTGTGATCTCATTCTTGTCTTACTGTGTTAAACAGCTTTTTGTAAAGTAAGCAAAGGTTTTATTTCTTGCAAATGGTTCAGTATTCCAGCCATTGCTCTCTAAAGAACAGGTATTAAAGTTTAATTGATTGTGGTGTTTGTTTTTTTTTTTTTAATTTAGGAGGCCTGCTTGCATATTTAAAAATTACTTTGTATTATCCTCTTATCCAGAAAAATTAAATACTTAAAAGCATCAAGGATTGTAATTCAAAGTGTCTTAAATATACCATACTTAGTCTGTGTTTATTTCTGTAAGATGGCAATAGGATTTAGAAATTAAAAGGTTTATAATTGTGAGTTGAAACATGAGTATCTTTGACACGACAAATTTAACATATGTTTCACTTCACAGCAAGGAAGTGTCTGCATGTTTTGTGGTTTGGCTTGCATGGTGAGGTCACATAATGCACTTCCGTTCATGTTGCTAGTATGTGCTGATGCCTACTTGCCTGTATTGGTGCTATGCTTCCTCTAATTCATGTGCAGCACTGTGGGCACAAGACATTCTGGAATATGGTATTTAAAGGCAGAATCCTGTTGGAAACTGGCCTGTGATGCTCTGCAGGACAATTTAACTTCTCTACATGGATCATTAAAGACATTTTTTAGCTCAGTATAGCATAAATATTTATTTCTGAGGTCTAAGCAGGGAAATGACAAGCTGTTAATGGACACTAACCAACCATTTTGTTCGATTGCTGGATAGGTGGCAGCGTTAGTTAAGCAGCATTGATAACTCTTACCTGCAGGTTGGATGGGCACTGGGGATGTATGTAAAACTGTAGTTTGCTTTCTGAGAATATTTTGGGATCATTCTCCCACAAACTTTACCCACTTGGAGGAACCAGAAAATGCCATAACCAATAGAACTGGTCTGTGGTATTTAGGAGTTGACTGGACTGTATATGTGCGTTCATAGCACTAGATTAATGGGAGATGTTGGTGAGGGACAATGCCTAGAGGCTTGAAATAATTTAGCTTTCATGTCCCTGTTCTGGTAATTTGATCTGACTGTTACCACAGTGCATTTGATGCTTTTATTCTAGGTTACCATTTCTAATGTGTTTTGCCATCATCCATAAAATCAGGCCCAGCTTAACACTGTTATGTGCATCTGTGTTTGGATTTTATAGTAGTGTTGTAATGTGTGTTTAGAAAGCTGTTGGCAAGGTGATACTGCATCCAGTATACTTTGCTCCTTCTTGCAATCATTTTAGATATTGTACATAATAATACTATGTGTACGAGTATAGCCAACTGTTTTCTAATAGCTACAAAATACTTACAAAGTATTCACTAATAGCAGAAAGTGAAGGTAATAGACTCCTGAGCAGCCTGAAAATCAAACAAGACTTGTTTGGCTGCTGCTTTTCTCTGCTCTCTTGAGTACCTGGAGTCCCTGACAGTGTCGGGTGTGTGATCTGATGGGTAGAGGATTGGACAAACAACATGGGGGGGATCCACGGAATTCTTGTGTCCACACACCAGTTGAGAGGCACTTTGAAAAGAGGAATCAATCTGATTTACACCAGCTAGATATTAAATAATACTTGGAACTGGTTTGGTTATTTTTCAAAATATGCTTTCTTTTTTTTTTTTTTTAAATTAACAAACAGAATTCAAATGCAAACCTATGTATATTCTGCTAGTATTATTATAATTCTTCTGAAAGAGGGAATTTATTAAATCAGAGTTGTATAAACGGAGTTAAGAATGCTCACCTTTATAAATACATAAAAGTCTTCAAATTTTGTCACAGATGTGTCAAGCTTTTTTTAATTGAAATTATTGCCTATTTTGTTAACATGTTAAAATAGTCCTTTTTTCCAAATCAGTTTTTCTACAGTAAAATAAAATACTTTACTAAAGATTCTTGTAAAATCAGTCAGACCTTCTGTCTTTTCCCTTGCCCTCATTACACAACTACACATAATTAAATATAGAGCAGCAATTCCTGGTGTAGTTTGATGGCTTGATGCTCAAATAGCCTCAGTGATACAGAAGAATGCTGAAGTCATACCAGCTGTATGGAAGCCTTTGATCAAGACACATATGTCAATTTAACCAGCTCATATACCTAACAGTGCAAGTACAAGTAAATTAAAAAACCCTAGGAAGTAGTAGTATCTAATGAATAACCTGTTTATTTTGTGAATGTGTTAATTACCTTAGGCAAACAATGCGTAGAGTGAGACATTTGAACTTAATATGTTCATTTGTATCAGAAAGAAGGAAAGGTGTGCTACAAAGGAGAATGTTAGGATGATTAAATAGGTATATAACAAGTGAGTTATGTTTTTCTGTATATGAGACATAGTGTGGTAAATTCTTCAAGATGCTCAAAATTCAGCATTCCCTGCTGGGATTCTTTGCCTCTCTGGATTGAATGGGGAGACTATCCAGACTGTTTGCTAGGTGTAGGTAGTTACCACTGAGTAAACACAACTTGGGAGTGGGAGGGGGTGGTTTTGTTTCTTCTCAGAAGTTTGAATAATTTTGTGACACAAGTTATCTCTGCTTGTTGAGAAGACTACTAAAGATACTAATTCAGTTTCTTACTACACCCAAAGAAATCACTGGAGTGGCTAGACCATTGGGAGGGGAATATAGAAGAATGTCCTTAGTTCAGGTCATTGTGTCCAGAACTAAAGTCTGGTCCTTGTCATAGTTTATCATAGTCTTAAGGCTATTTGCAGTCTGTGATTTGAGAGAGATTTACAAGGCCTGTGCTGGCACTTCAGACTTCTTGGTATGTAGCTGTGCTCTTTCAGGTCTACTTGAGAACTGATCTCTGTATTGACATTCCATTGTCAAGGGTAATCTTACAGTTTCAGGACAAGATGGAGCCAAGTATTGATGGGCATGTTAATCAGGCACTGAACCTCTGAATTTCTGAGTTATTTTTAGTGATTTTCTTTTTTAGAAGAAATACTGCAATAAGTGAATCAACTGTTCTTTCAGAAGAGAGCAAATAGGTGTGCTGTGATTGGTCACTAGAAATTACAACACTGGTTTTATTTTGCATACAAACTGAAGTCTCAAATGTTTTACAGAGTTAAATAACAAACTAAACCAGCATTAACATAGGACCAGAAAAAAGGAGAGATGTTTTTCGTCAGAAGGGCAGAGGTTGTTCCAAATACAGGGCATTGCAGAAACCAGCTGCTTAGCTTAACTTGATTACTGTGAACTCACAGTGTCTCAGATTAGTGTGTGTCAAGACGTGAAATGTAGGGCAAATAAATTCAGATGGTTATAGTACGATTTACTGGGTTTCAGGGATGGGGCTATATCTCTGCATTTATTGTTTCCTTCTCTATCAGCCTTAGAATATTCAGTCTGAGTTGGATATTGTTTTCTTAACTTCTGTATGGCTTATTATTTTAGGGAAATCTTGACTGCTTTATGTAGACTTGTCCATCCATTAAAGTCTAGGCATCAGTAATGTGTTCATAATATACTATGGAAAAAAACTGAGGCTCTTTAATTTAAACCACTGTAGGTCTGAATGAGAGTGGTTTTGTATCTAAGCGTCCTGCTACTTCTGAAGGCAACAGTGTAACTCCAAAAAAGGCCAAGCCTAATGAGGTTGGTGCTGGAAGCAATTCAGCTGTTTCACCTACAGTTAACTCTCCAACAGTAACACCATCACAAAATGTATCTTCAAAAGGTAGGGTAGATCAAATGGTCTAGCTGTCAATCCATGCATCTGTTTCATGGAAAAAGCTAGCGCTCTTGTAATGTGTAAGTTGATCGGTATTATTAATGCTATTAAGGCAATGTAAGTAAGTAAACTCTGTTCTTGTGCCTTAAAATATGAAAAACCTTTCTATGCAAGGATTTGTATACCTTTACAAATTAATACCCCCTAGGTTATTACCTATTCAAATTTTAGACCTTTATTGTTTAGTAGGTATGTTTGAATTCTGTAAAGCAATGATTAGTTACATTGTTTAGTGGCTGTGAAGACAGATTATCAAAATAAATGCCCCTGACCTCATACTCTCAGTTCAGATTTTCTATGCCAAAGAACTTAATAGAGAGTCAAAATTTGAAAAAACAACCAACCAGAAAATCAACATTGAAGGAATTCCGTGACTGAATTTATCAACTAATTCGGATTAGATAAAAGGAAGGGGAAAAAAAAAAAAAACCACTGTAGGAGTGTCGGGCCAGGCAGCAAGGACTCAGGTTGTGGAATCTCCATCCTCAGGGATAATCAGAAGTTGACTGGACATGGCTCTGAGCATCCTGATAAGGTTGGACTTGCTTTTAGTGGGAGGTTGGACAAAAACACCTCCACAGGCCCAACCTAAATTGTTCTGTGATTCTGTACTTTGACTAACCATTGCAAAGTGTGTTTTGCAGTTCCCCCCTTTCTTTTGCAGCAGTGTTTTTGATACGGTTTAAAATAGTAGTGGGAAAGGAGGAGGGGAATCTAAGTTTTAAAGAGAGGATGTTCTTTGAAAGACCTTTCCCTCCCTACAAGAAGACAGGTAGTCTAGCTGTTTCAGCATATTAACAATTAGGTGCATTTTCCTCCTGAGCCACAAGGTGCTTTCCAGCTGATTGTAATAGATGAGGATTTATTCTTGACTTTGAGATACTTCCAACTGCCTACTCTCTCCTATAATGTTAAAATGAGGAGCTACCTACAGTGTGATTCTGTTGTTTGGAATCATTTCATGTTTGTTTTTTTTGCATGTCTTGTTTGCTACTGGTTTGCTGTCAGACTCTTACCCAGCAACCAGAAGGAAGTAGCTGTAACATGGAATATTGTAGCAAAAAATTTTCCTCCACCCTGCGTTGGGTAAAACAGATACTGTGCTGCAGCCTGTAATATACAAGAGATAACAGGAGGATCTTACTAAATGCAATAACAAAGGAGTAGATAATATTGACAGAGAACCTTATTATTATGAGTTTGTCTCTAAGCCGTCCCGTGCTAGCATAGTGTATTCTAATCTGTCACAGAATCCAGCACTGAAGCACTGCAAAACACTAGATCTTGCTGCAGAACCTGTTTTCTTCCAACTCACCTTGCACTTTGCTGTGACATGCCAACATGTTTTACAAACCATAATAGGAAAGACTTGCAGCACTGTTTTGCGGTACATCTCTTGCATGGCCATCCACTCATGTGAAGGACTTTCTGCTTCATTATGATTCTTAGCAATACTGTTATCTTCAAGGAAGAACACTGTTTGATCCATGTCTACCTCATGGACTGTGCAAGAATATTTTTGTGAAAAAATGTATAATGCTGTTGCATGGTCATCTCAACTCACACACTCAACTCATTCCCTTGTTATAAGGTGGACATATTTGTGTGTTCATTTTTTTCATAGCCCTGGTAGGGTACAGTTGACTCTACAGTTGAGATGTTACTTAAAACTCTTCCTGTGTTTAACCTCTTCTTCTAAACTACTTACTCAGCATGGAGTCCTCCAGATCTGTGAATGACTTGAGAATGCAAGAGAACTTGGAAGCCTGGGTTTATTCATTAAAGTTTAAGCTAATGCAAAGCTTCTTTGGTTTTGCTCAAAAGGTATTAATCATTTTATGTTGATAAGAGAAATACTATTTCCTTTCATTACTGGGAGTAATTATTTAGAGGATTTGTTCTCCAGGTTCTCCAAAGACACCTTTGCTCAACAGGAATGATGCATCCGGATAGGCTTAGGTTCCAACAGCTATCCAGAGAGAAATATTCTCATCATTGAGAACCAGATGGTGAAATTCCTTTCCAAAACTAGTTATGCAAATCCTGTTGTAATGATGATCAGGTCATGGCGTAAAACAAGTTTTACATGTTCATTTGAGAATTTAAGTTCTTAAAACCACAAAAAATCTGTCCTAACGGGGGCTGGGGGAGTGGTGGTGGTGCACAGAATTAATGCTTTGTCTCTGTTGTGCCACCTTCACCCCCTCCCATCTTTTTGTTATTTGTTGCTAAGATTTTATAAAAAGTTGTTTATAAGTCTGTATCAAACAGAACAAACTCAAACTCAGTTTGGAAAAAAGGAAGTGTAGTTAGAAGATGGTTGTGAAATGTTGCTTATTATTACTACAGCTACATCAATTGTAGTAGCTTTCATTTGAAATAGCATATTTTGCTAGAGTAATAATAATAATAAATCAAGTATTCTGCTTATGAATTGTGAGTCTTAAACCTATTTTAAATTTTACAGGTACAAATGCTGCTTCAAGTACTATTAAAAATGGAGGACCTTTTCCACGAGCTTGTCCGAAGTGCAATATTCATTTCAATCTTATGGATCCTCTAAAAAATCATATGAAGGTAAAATATTTGGGGGCTGGTAAACATTATAAACTTACGTGGGCTTCTGATTATGAGTGCCATGTTTTGATAGGAAGATAGTCTAGTTTCTGGCTATGATCCACCAGACCCCAAATGCTCCATGTCTTGCAGTCATGGAGAGGAAGAATGGAGTAGGGAAGCTCTAAATCTTGCCACTTTTGCCTTATTTTTCCAACAAATTGAGGCATATTTGTTGTCTCTGTAAGATTTCTCTCTGCCACAACTGTGATTTTTTTGAACCATTGGCCAGATTCAGGTAAATTTGATGAAGGTAAGTGCCTATGATAACAGGCAGCCAGTTGGCTCACATCTGTGTTAGATTACTACTGAGACAAAGATGACAGTGTAAACTTACCTTTTTATCTTGATAGATCATTTGATAGCTAAAGAAGTTGTTAAGCTGAGGGGAAAACTTAATTTGTAGTTCATACTTAAACACTGTGAGAAACAAAGCTTTCAGAAACTAGGCATCACTTCGTCTGCTTATGAAACTACTTGTTACTGTTTCTGGAAACATTGTTTCCTGGAAAATATTTATTATTATTTGGCAAAGATTCATGCAATTCTCAGGCATATGTATTCCTTTTCGGGGGGTGGAGAAATGGCTTTGCACTCTATATACAATGTGAATAACCCATGCAAAAAGGAGTATGAACTACTGTGTAATAGAAGTCTGGGAGGCACTCAGTTACTGTTAACACAGATGATTCTGATTTACTGGGTTTAAGATATCCTAAATGGTAGCTACTGTCCTCTTCAGCTTCAAAACACAATTAAGAAACATACATAAGTGGACAAAAATCAAGGGTTTTATCTTTCTCTAATCATTATTTGTAGAGAATAGCTTTTGCACTGAGTACATCAACTGAATGAAAAAAAACATTGAAGAAATGTGTTTACTTAGTATTATTTAATTAAATTTTTAGTTAAACTGTATGGGATAAATATACTGAGCGACATTTCCACAGTAGGAGATAAACTCCTTACTAGTAGGCTTATAGAAAGTAGTCCTGCACAGTAAGAACCATTATTCTGCAGGAGAAAGATCTGTCCTCTGAAACAAGCTAATTTTGTTCACTACTGGAAACTTCCATTTTCCATATGAAGTACTTCATACTTTTTCAGCATTATGTTTCATATCATAGCTATTGGGTTAAGCATTCATCATGTACACTTTGACATAAAGAAGCTTGAACAGTGTGTGTTGTGTGACTTAGAATTTCTGAATTTTTCAGTAATACTGGAAAGAACTTTTGCAGGTTTCAACATATGTCCTCCCCAAAGAAATAAAAGATAAAACTTTCCATTAAGTTCTCAGGAAACTTATGCTTGTCAGCAAAATACTTGTGTAAAAGGTGCTTTCCTCTTTCTTATTAAATTTAGATGAAGTAGACATTTTCTAATGAGTGAGGCAACACTGGTATTCTGATTTCTCCGCTTAAATATATCTTACATGAACCTATGAGAATAATGCCTTTTCAGCTTTTGTAATATATAGTGTTTTATTACCTAAGCCACTACCTAAAGATCAGTTACTGTTCAAAATCTACATGTGAATATGAATAAAGGCGGTGTGTCAGAGAATTGAGCTTTGCATCTAACTCTAGTTAGTGAGTGGCTTCAGTCTTAAAAATGCTGTTGTCATCAATGCAGTTTGGTAAGAGAGACTGATACCTTTGTCTCTGTCTGTCTGTTCTCCTCCCCCTTTCCATCCAGTATTGTTGCCCTGATATGGTAAATAATTTTTTCCTGGGAATGGCCAAAACGGAATGTTCGAGCACAACAAGCAAGACTGCTGAATCTGAGAAAGGAAAATTGATTATGTTAGTTAACGACTTTTATTATGGGAAACATGAAGGTGACACCCAGCACGTACAACAGGAGCAGAAGACTCATACAACATTTAAGTGCTTCAGTTGTCTGAAAGTTCTCAAAAATAACATAAGGTATTTGAACTCACTTCCCTAATTGCTAGTCACTTACAGCCCATAGCAATTAGTCTTATGCATTGAAAATTTGTCTCTCTGGAATTGAAATTTTTTTTTCTTATTGAAAACTGGTAGTATTGGATGACTGAACAGAAATTTAATTCATTTTTACTATGCATGTATGTCCATAACTAAACTTTTTACGGATTAGAGTACAAATTCTAATGGTGTAGAGTTTTAATGAGAGCAGTTGTAGGACTTGGGGTTAGAAAGGGCAACAAAGTATTTTACAATTTGCCATCTGGATTGATGGTGATATCAGTAGATGAGAGTGTTAATTCCCTTTAGGGATGCACAATGACTAATAGTTGGTGCTTTACTTATGTAACACCTGTTATTTTGATGGAATAATCTTACTCCCAAATGCTGCAAAAAAACTTCAGTAAGCTGTTTTAATAGGTAGATGAGTTCATGTCATTGTTCCTTTGGAAGTTAAGGTCATTGAACTTTCTTACATGCATTCTTCAAGGGAAGCTGAAGTAGCAGAATGTAAAACTGAAAAATTAATTACTCCTTCAAAAGGCACAGTCTGCAAGTTAAAATGAACAGGTTTATGCTAACATTAGACCCAATTATTGAACAAAATAAAAGTTTCATGTAATTACAAACATTACCTTTGCTATTAATCATAAAGTATGTATAAATCCTAAGTAAAAGTGCCAGTAATTTGTATTAAGCAGCTTGAAAATGTTGTATGTTGTTAGACTTTAAGAGTTTACTGTCATGATTTTATAGTTTCTGTTAATGATGGCACTTCTTTCCTTGCAATTGATCTTTTTTAAGAGCAATAAACAATGTTTGATATGGGCCAAGAGGTTTTTCTTCTGGTTTTGTATGCATAATACTTTTTAAATAAGCCTTTCTTGCAGTATCATGAAAGGAGTCCACAGAAAGAATACTTTATTAAGATACTGGGTTCATCTTAAAAATTATTTTTCAAGCACTATTTTCTACTCAGCATTATGTTGTAAGCTAGTGGTGCTATGGTTCCTATGTGTTCCACAGCAAGTCATTAAAATGAGCACTTAATTTTTTTCTTTGATTTTCTCTAGAGTCGACTTTCAGCCATATTAATTTTTTATTGTAACTTTGTGCTGTATTCTGTAGTTCGGTAACTTCAGAGTTGTTATTCCAAGGTATATGTTACACCTTTAACCATTTATACTGGACAAAATAAATGCATAGTACCTCTCTACTAGTCATGGAAGTTTTCTGGACCTTAATTCAGAAAAGCACAAAGTGATTGATCAGGGTAATCTGCTTCCTTTGAAAGATCTGTGGTTGAATACATGAGTGAAATAATGTTGTGTTAAGGTAATATGCAGTACTAGTGTCAATTCCTTTCTTCTGCTTAGGTACCTGGATATCTTCAGTTTAGTTTTTTCTTTTTTTTTCTTTAAAGCAACTGCATGATATTGAAGCTTGAGCTCAAGTGACTATTCTCCTTGCTTCTTTCTTTTTTTCCAATTCCAAGGTCACCACTTCAAGAACTACATTCCTTTTGTGGGTGTGACCTACATTTAATAGTTCCGCTGGCTGTACTAAAGTGAAGCACATGCAAGATAGAACAGTTTTTGAAGCTTAACAGTAGTGGGTTGTGCAACTAACTTGTCCTTGTGCTGCTCCACAAGTAACTGTAACCTGCCAATGTTGTCATGGGTGCCTAAACTTTGCAGCCACAATAGGCTTCTACTGCAGATAGGTGAACATATTAATGAGGAAAAGGTGGAAACTTGAAGGAGTAACATACCACCAAGTTTCTCATACTCTTTTATTGTCAGCAGCACAGTGGTATTCTTTGAATACGGCCCCTCATAATTCAACTTCAATCCTAAATGCTTTATACGAAGAAAGCTGCTGGAACCCTGCCAGTTTTGAGTGGAGGTGGTTTCAGAAAAAGCTTTGATGTCCTAATTGCAGATATGTTCTTGCTACTTAATAGTTTTCAGCAGAGCTAAAGTTATACTTGTTTCAGAATGTGGCTTTAAGACTCTGGTGGTGAAGTGTGAGCAGCTGATGTGTTTTGTGTTGCCTTTGCTAATTTCCCTTTATTTTAAGGCAAGAATTTTGTCTAAGCAAACATGAAAAATGCAGTAGATTGCTTAGTCTTGGAACATGTTTCAGATATGCTGTATGTTCCCTATAATAGTCAAGATTTCTTTTTAAGCTTTGAAAGATGGTTTCTGGCATAATCACCTTGCTTAACTTTGCCTTTTTATTATTTTTTTTGTAACAAACATTTATTCCTTAGATTTTTTTTTTTTTAAATTGAGAAGTCCTTACAGATTAAAGTTTCTAAAGAATCCCGTATATTTTGCATGTGCTATGTCATGTATAGTGAATGTTAAAAATATAGTTTTTGGCACCTGTTCACTATCATTTAAAGGTTTATGAACCACATGAAACATCACTTGGAGCTTGAGAAGCAGAGCAGTGAAAGTTGGGAAAGCCACACTACCTGCCAGCACTGTTACCGTCAGTTTCCCACCCCATTCCAGCTGCAGTGCCACATTGAAAGTACACACACGCCTTACGAGTCATCTAGTAAGTTGCATTGTGTCACGTTGAATCTTTTTGTGACCTAAAATTTTCTGACTTTTATTTGGCTGGTTTGTAACTTCAGAATAAAGCTATTGTACTTTAAGAGCAGTAATCTTGAGAATTAATATAGCAGCTGAGCAGTCATTCAGTTTATGTTAAAGTAATGTGTGTAGGAAAAAAAAAAATTTTAAAAAGCTTTTTGTTTTGGGCTTTTTTTTTTTAACTGAAAGCTTGGCTGCAAAAATTCATGTTATTTAAGGGCTTTGCACTTCTGGCTTCCTGAAATTGTACAGGGAATTTCTTCTGAAGAGTAGAATAATTGTTAGATTGCTTTACCTTTATAGATTTATACAGTTCACATATACATACATATTATAATTTATCTACTTATGACTCAAAATGAATTTTTACTTTTTTCTTGTTTTTCACTTCTAGCAATTTGTAAAATCTGTGAATTATCCTTTGAAACAGAGCAAGTTCTTTTGCAACATATGAAGGACAATCATAAGCCAGGTGAAATGCCATATGTTTGCCAGGTATTTCGGAGTGACTGTTTTGTATTCAGATTACACCACCCCCTGTCTTTACTGTCAATAAACTTTTAACAAGAAAGTCAACCTTTTTGTTCTAGGTATGCAACTACAGATCCTCAGCTTTTTCAGATGTAGAAACACATTTTAGAACAGTTCATGAAAACACAAAACATTTGCTATGCCCTTTTTGCCTCAAAGTAATTAAAATTGGAGCACCGTATATGCATCATTACATGAGGCATCAGGTAAGCAGATATTTTCAATCCTTAATGTTAGAAAGATACTAAATATGTCATGAATCTCTCTGGAAAAAAAACATAACTGATTTGTATGGTTGCTACTGGATAAGAATAGTTAATAAAATATGGTAGAGTAATTATGATTGCGTCTTTTGAAAAGTCTTTAAGGGGATTGTTGGAATTTGTCATGTTTTTGTGACAGCAGCTCTCTGCTTAAAAAAAAAAAAAAATCTCTGAATATCCTTGAAAGAATATCTTTATTTGGTTTCTTCAGTAAGTTGTAGTGATGTGTTCTGCTTTTCTTGAGGTTACTAGCCAACCTTTCACTAGTTCAAGCAGAGAAAAAGATTGACATACTGTGTTATCTTGTAACTGGTAACCTGATTCCTCCCCCTCTTAGTGGTAATACTGCCTTGCATTTTCGACTATTTAAATATTCTCTCTTTAACTCCTACACAGTATCTTGGCTTTGTACAATATTAAGAGTTTGTCCAGTTGATGTTTTAGAAACTGGATGACCATTGCTTGAGACATGCTAGGGTTGGAGTTTTGTTTATCATGACATTCATGCCTACTGTAGATTGTTTTCTGTTTTTAAAAGAAAAAAGGGATATACCGTTGCACTAAGTGCAGACTGCAATTTTTGACCTGCAAAGAAAAAATGGATCACAAGACTCAGCACCACCGAACATTTAGGAAACCCAAACAGTTAGAAGGATTGCCTCCTGGAACAAAGGTAAACGTTCATACAGGAAAATTAGAGGGGACAAAGGAAAAAAACATTGGTACAGAAAGGGGTGGAATAAAGAAGTGCTTTTCTCCTTTCTCTTCCAAAACAAAGGTTGGTTTTTGTGGGTTGGTTTGTTCATTTGTTTGTTTGCTTTGCCAGCTCTGATACTAAAATTCTAAAAAATACTCCTGCTG